GGCCGGTGTGGGGCTGATCTGGGGTCTGCGAGGAGGTGGGGATGAAGGGCAGAGGTGCAGAAGCAGGGAGTCAGGACCGGCCTCGCCATGGTGGTGATGGGGGGGGCAGGGGACTGGGTGCCAGTCCTGAGACAGTGACGATGGGACGGGGGCCTGCCCGCCTCCTCTGTGCCGTTTTCTGTCAGGCCTGGGGCTGGCCGCAGACTTGCCGGGACCCAGTGTGGGGCCCTGGTTCAAGAATCAGGAACGCGTTCGAAGTGACAGCGAGCATTAACAGAGTGCGTGGCCCGCCGGGCTGCTGGGGGGCCCCCGGAGCAGGCCCTGCCAGGCCGGTGCCAGCATCCCGAGCGGGGGGCGGCGGCTGTGGGAGGGCCAGGGCTCCTGCCGCCCGACAGCCAGAGGACGGCCTGTTCCTCCTGCCACCCCTGGGACCTGCGCGAACACAGCTGACAGCTCAGTGGCTCTGGACTGTTCTGCAGACTCGCTCGGAGGGACAGGGAGCCGGCAGCCGCGGGCGGGTCAGAAGGCAGGCGCTGAGGTGCCTTGTTTGTGTCCACAGAGAGATTTCCCAGTTTCTCCAAAAATGGGGCTCGCTGCAAGTCTCCCAGGGTGTCACCGGCCAGCTGGCCAAACCCTTCGGTCTGCGGAGAACTCGGATTCTGACCCTGCATCGCAGGGACGATACCCCCCCCAGACCCTGAGGCCTCGAGACAGACAGACAGACAGACAGATGGGTTCTCCACAACCTCCCACCAGCACCGGGAAACACCGGCCGCTCCACGGGCAGTAAAATGTGGACGCTCTTGTGGGTGGGATTAGGCCCTGGGCAGCAGACCCTCTGCCTTCCCAGCTGGTGCCTCTCCTTGGGCCCAGAGCTCCCCAGCTCAGGTGTCCCTCCCTGTCTTACCCCCGTCACCAGGGATCCTGCCCTCAGAGGCTCAGGGCTCTGAACACCATCACGGGGTTCTGGGTGGGGGGACGAGATGTGCAAGAGCCCGACCGCCTGGGGGGAGATTTCCAAAGCAACCTCGTCCCTACTGGCTCTGGCACTGCAGGCAGGTGGCCAGGGTCTGGGACATGGTCACTACATTTCTCACGGGAAAGTACAAAGCGCAGTCCCACTGACCCCTGGTAATTCCTCCCTGGGAGCCACACTCAGCGAGCGGCCGGGCCTCAGGGGGAGGAACCAGCCCTCGGCCTGCCTGGGCCCCGTCATGGCTGCTGGGCCCTCCTTGGCTGAGTCCAGGCCCTTCCTCTGCAGCCCAGGGAGGGAGGCAGCCTCTCCACTCTGCACAGGCGGCCACAGGTCCAGAGGGGCTGGGTCACTCCCCAAGGTCACAGCTAGTCAGGGGCAAAGCCCAGTCCTCGAGCAGGCGAGAGGGAGCTGGCTTTCTAGGGGCAGTTTCGGCCACGAGGTGGGCAGCTGTGCCCCCTGAGTGGGCCTAAGCCTCAGGAGGGGCTCCTGCCCCTCAGACCAGTGGGCGGGGTGGCCAGGCGCCCAGGTGGCAGCAGATCCCCAGCCCTGGGCCCCTGCCTGCCCTCCCGCAGGACCACGGAGACACAGGCCTGGCCGCTGCGGGCCACCTCTCAGGTCAGCAGGTGGCCCTGGCCCAGCCCCTTCATGGGAGAAGCAGGCGAGATGGCCCTGACGAGGTCGCTGCACACACCCCGGGGCTGTCTCAGTGTCGCAGGGAGTTCAGCTGTCGGGGGACAGTCCTGCTCCCAGCCTGGAGCCTGAGCTGGGATTCTGAGGGCCTCCAGACAGAAAGCTGAGGCCCCGAACATCCCAGCGGCACCACCTGGGCCTGGCTTTGGGGGAGGGACGAATGCAGGGCCCGTCTTCCTGGGCTCTGCCCCCCAAGGCAAGTGCGGTCAGGAGGTCAGGAGGAGGCTCTGCAGACACCTCCCCAGCAGATGCCCAGGGCAGCGTTCTCCTGCGGAGACCACGGCCGCTCAGGTGAAGGGTCACAGGACAGGCCCTCGGTGGGGTCTGAGCGGCTGAGCACCCAGGGGCGGGGGTGGACTTGGGGATGGATGGACATTCCCTCTGCCCCTTGGGTGCATGTTCTCTGTTCAGGCGGGTAAGGCGGGTGGAGGAAGTGGCCGAGGAGGCCCGAGGCAGGGACCGGCTGTGTGCTGCCATTGGAACCCACCAGACAGACACTTCACGTGGATCCCAACCCAGTCACAGGCCTGAGCCACGTCACGTGGCTGTGGGCCTGGAGGAGCCAGGGAACGGGCTGCTCCTCCTCTGACACAGCTGGGGCCAGGCCACGGGTCAGTGGGGTTCAGGGGCCGTACCCCCCCATCCCGGGACTCCCCAACCCTAAGGCTCTCCCAAAGGGATAAGGCTGCTCAGCGTCAGCCCGAGGCCTGTGCTCCGGGGAAGTTCTCCGTTGTATCCGACCCACAGCCTCTTGCCATAAAGGGCGAGTGGTCCAGTGAGCCGGGAGGCAGGGACAGAGGCAACGCATCACCTCTGGGGCCACGGGGAGGCACCCCCAGTTCTGCAAGCAGAGCAGCTGGCCCGCGGACTCGCTCTTGGACTGGGAGGCGGCCCTGCGTGCTCTGGGCCCAGAACGCTCCTTCTCCTTTTAAGGCGACGGAGGAGCTGCCTCCCAGCCCACTCGTTCCTGCTGCTCCCAGAGCCTCGCGATTAATCAGCCCCCCGCCCCCGCCTGCTTTTCATTAGATTCTTTTTTAAGGGTTGGCACAGCTCCCCAAGAACAGACTCGTGGCAGACCCCCCAGGGCCGGGATGTACCCTGAGGGGGTGGGGAGTGATCCTGGAGGGAGACCAAGGGGGGCCGGGGAGGGGTCCTGGACCGGAGCCCTGTGGACATGCCGGGTGTGGCTGGGAGGGGCGGGGGTGCTGGGGTGCTGTGGGCAGCAGGGCACCTAGAAGGAGGCTGGGGAAGGCCGGGGGAGGCCTGAGACCCAGTCTTTCCTGAACTGTGGGAGAAACTGGTCGAGTTTTAATCTCTCTGCAACCCCAGCTTCCTCTAAGTGAGGCTTGAGAGCGGCCTGGGGCTGTGAGCACCCTGGGGGGTCACACTGGGCGTCACGTTGGCGATGACATTGGGGATGACCTTGGGGATCTGGAGGAAGGGAGCGGAGGGCATCGAGGCCGCAGGGCTGCTGTCCCCTCCATGCTGCAGGGCCGGCCCGTGATGAGACCATCTGACCCGGGGGAGGGGGCAGTTTGCTGGCAGACCCAGGCGTGTCCTGACCTGGAAGGTGACCCCTGGTCCCTTGCACTGTCCAGCCTCTTCCTTCCTTCAGATCAAGGTGCGGTCAAGTCACCGCCACTTGTGCGCACAGCTGGGCACAGAGTGAGGGTAACGGGCTCCCCTCTGCTGGGCACAGCGCCCCAGTGAGCCCCCCTGCGGCTGCCCGTGGGCAGGGGGAGGGACCGGCACATTCCAAGGGCCTGTCTCACCAGGCCTGTGTCCCTTGGCCGGCTGTTGATTCTGCTGGGGGAGCCAAGGACTTTGCTGCTAAATAAACCCAGGGCTGGTCCCCAACGGCACGTTAGGCTGCAGGTACAGCCTGTTCCAGACCCGCTCTCCCTCCCGGGGGGGGCAGGGGGTGGCTGGAGCCCTTATCCCCAGCCCAGCCCCAGCCCAGCCCCTGGAAAGACACAAAGTCTTTCTAACAACCCGGCCATAGCCTGTTCCTCGTGCACGTGCACACCTTCGAGGGAGGACATGCCGACCCCCTGAGGCCCCAGGTGCCCTGGGGTCTGTCGCAGTTGGTCCACGAGCTCTCCTTACCTGCTTCCAGACGGTCCTGCCTCCAGCTCCTCCAAGGGGGGGAAGCCAGCACCTCCAGAGAAGTGGCCTGAGAGGGCCCCCCCCCGCACCCCCGTGTGGCTGACACGCCCCCAGAGCACCATTTCTGTGTTCGTGTGGTCACAGTGGAGTCACAGGACCCTAGATCTGAGGTCGGCCGACCCAGCAGGTTCCAGGGCTCCCTGCAGACAGGTTTGGGCAATGTTTCTACCGAAAGAAGGGGCCGTGCTGTGGATCACCAGGAAGCCACACACGCTCGAGGCTCAGGTGTGTCCTGCTCTGAGAGGTGACCATGGTGGACAGAACCATCAACTCCCTTAACTGGTAGAATACGTTGCCAGCAGCCCTGCAAGAAGATGCTGGCTGCAAAGGCCCGGGTCCGAGAACCACTGACCGACCGCAGCCAGGATGCCGGGGGGGGGTGGGGAGCTCCGTCATCAAGATGCCTGATATTTTCATGACATTGTAAGAAATCAACTCTAATGCAAAAAGCCACGGTGAACACAAATTCAAAATTGTAAATAAGTTACTCCCTTCCCCCTTTATTGATTTGAGAGAGAGAGGGAGAGAGAGATGGAAACATCGATGAGAAAGAACATCGACTGGCCGCCTCCTGCACGCCCCCCACTGGGGATCGGGCCCACAACCTGGGCATGTGCCCTGACCGGGAATCGAACCAGCGACCTCTTGGTGCAGGGTCGACGCTCAACCACTGAGCCACACGGCCAGACCAACATTGTAAATAAAGGCAGGACCAGGGTTAGTGATGATTCCTTTTGCCTCGGGTCCCGACATGACTGAGCAGGGCCCCCACCTGGACACACTCCTGAATCTCGAGTGGGACAGAAAGGGACAGCACTAGCCCGAGGACCTGGGGAGGGAGCTGCCGTCAGATGACGCCTGGGGTTTCGGGGTCTGCCACCAGCTCATCTGCCCAGCTGGAGTGCCCGTCCCTCTCCGGTGTCCCCATCCGCCCCAGAGTCCCCATCCCTCTCTGGTGTCCCTGTCCCTCTCCGGTGTCCCCATCCTTCTCCAGAGTCCCCGTCCCTCTCCCGTGTCCCCATCCACCCCAGAGTCCCCGTCCCTCTCCGGTGTCCCCATCCGCCCCAGAGTCCCCATCCCTCTCCCGTGTCCCCATGCTCATCCCGGTCATCACCCCTCTCCCCCAGAACCAGCTCCTCATGTTTCTTCTTCTTTTCTGAATTCTTAGGAAAGCAAACAAGTGGAGACCAACACAGGTGCCAAGAACGGAGGGGGAAGGGGCCAAGACACCCGCACAAAGGCCCTGGGCCCCAGACAGGACTCAGACCTGGGGAGGGAGCCCCGGCGCGGGGCCTTGAAGAAGAGCTTCTCCAGAGACAGAGACGACGCCGAGGGCAAAGGTGCCCAGCCGCCCAAGGAGGAGAAGCTCATCAGGGGCATTGACAAGGGCCGGGTCAGGGCTGCCGTGGACAAGACAGAGGCTGGGGGCGACGGGCAGGGGGGCAGCAGGGCAGCGCCCAGGAAAGAGGAGGAGCAGAGAGGTGTGAGCAGAGACAAAGATAAGAAGAGAGAGGAAGGAAAGGTAAAAGGGGGGGGTGAGCGCACAGAGGCTGCTGGGAAGGAGGACCAGGCGAGGAGACCAGGAAGTGGGGGCGCAGACACGAAGAAGGAGCAGGAGCTGAGACCAGGAAGTGGGGGCACAGACACAAAGAAGGAGGAGGAGACAGTAACAAAAGAGGAGCCCCCCAACCTCAGGGGGCCCGCAGAGGAGAGGAAGCCCGAGGCTGCAGAGAAGCAGGCACCCCGCAGCCCCGCCAAGCCCCCCGAGGGGGCGGCCCCGGCGGAGGAGGAGGCAGCGCCCAGCATCTTCGATGAGCCCCTGGAGAGGGTGCGGAACAACGACCCCAGCATGACCGAGGTCAACGTCAACAACTCGGACTGCATCACCAGCGAGATCCTGGTGCGCTTCGCCGAGGCCCTGGAGTTCAACACCGTGGTCAAGGTGTTCGCGCTGGCCAACACCCGCGCCGACGACCACGTGGCCTTCGCCATCGCCATCATGCTCAAGGCCAACTCCACCATCACCAGCCTCAACCTGGACTCCAACCACATCACGGGCAAGGGCATCCTGGCCATCTTCCGGGCCCTGCTGCAGAACAGCTCGCTGACCGAGCTCCGCTTCCACAACCAGCGGCACATCTGCGGCGGGAAGACGGAGATGGAGATCGCCAAGCTGCTCAAGGAGAACAGCACGCTGCTGAAGCTCGGCTACCACTTCGAGCTGGCGGGGCCCCGCATGGCCGTCACCAACCTGCTCAGCCGCAACATGGACAAGCAGCGGCAGAGGCGGCTGCAGGAGAAGAAGGGGCTGCTGGAGGTGCCCAAGGCCGGGGCGCCGGCCAAGGGCTCCCCCAGCCCCTCACCCCAGCCATCGCCCAAGGCCTCGCCCAAGAACTCGCCCAAGAGCGGGGGTGCTCCGGCCGCCCCACCTCCACCGCCGCCTCCCCTGGCCCCGCCGCTCATGGTGGAGAACCTGAGGAACTCACTGTCACCAGCCACCCAGCGGAAGATGGGGGACAGGGCCCTCCCTGCCCAGGAGAAGAACTCCCGTGACCAGCTGCTGGCCGCCATCCGCTCCAGCACCCTCAAGCAGCTCAAGAAGGTGAGTAGCAGGAAGGACCAGTGCGGGGGGGGGGGGGGCTGCAGAGGGGACAGGCAGAGGAGAGGGAGCTGGGCCGGGCTGCAGGCAGGATACAGACGCCCAGAGCCATCGGTCGGCCCGCTGCCCCCAGGTGGGCACCTCTGTCCCTCAGAGGGGACTGTCCTTCCTTTAAGGGGCTTCTTTTAGCCTCTCCCTCTGGCTTCACCTCCCCCTAGAAATGACAAGCAGCCTCTCCGCGGGGTGTTGGCCTTGGACATTCCCTCTAGCCCCACATTTACTAATGGCCTCTGAGGACCAGCCCAGCCCGAGGGACAGTCTGTCCCAAAGGGGTCTGGGAGATTTAGCCCTCAGCAGTGTCAGGGACACCAGCCATCCCGGACCCTATTTCCCCGGATGACAGAGGGCACGTCGGCTAGGACCAGACGGCAGGAAGGGAAGGACTTGCCCGATTATAATCCCAGTGGTCACTGATGACATCAGCTTTTCCTGGACCCTCTGCCTGGTCCCGGGAAGAGGGTGAGGCTGCTGAACCCTCGCCGAGTGGCCTCCCTAGACACTCTGCTTTGTCCTGCAGGTGGAGGTGCCCAAGCTGCTGCAGTAGGGACCAGGCTGCCGGGCACCGTCCTCCAGGGCCACACAGACCCCACCCACCCCGGCTGACCGGCTGCGACGTCCCTGGTCAGCCTGGGGACCTGAGGCCCGGGCCACGCTTTCTCATCCAAATATTTCCTCTCCACCCGGAGCGGATGTTTCTGGACTAGAAGAGTCCTTTCAGCACGTCACGGAGAAGATGGCACGCCGATGGGATCCAGGGAGGGTGTCCCACAGGGACCGCGTCACAGCCCAGCCCCTGCAGTCCAGGGCTAGGATCCAGGCCTCTGAGGAGCCCTGGGCAAAGCTGCTGGGAGGGTATGCGGGCAGGGGCAGAGAATGGAGAGGGCAGAGGTTCCAGGGTAGAGGGATGAGGGGATGAGGTCCCCCCAGCCCCTCCTGGGCTAATCAGGGCACCTGGCAGGGCAGCTGGCCTGGACAGACAGTGCCTGGGGGTGGAGAGGGACAGACATCAGCTGCACCTGAAGGTCTGATGCCAAAGCAGACTCCCTGCCCCCTGCTGCTGCCCTGCTGTCTTTTCCCGTCAGATTTTGATAATATATACGAGCCTTTAGCTACAAGTGGCTGTGCCCACCTCTGTCCAGTGTGAAGGGCCCCGGCGCCCGCCCGGGCTCCCTGGAGGGCTGCAGAAACCTGGTTCCCGGCAGCTATCCCAGGCTGCCCACAGCACAGTCCAGGGCAGGAAGCACAGGGCGGGGCAGCCTCCCCACTGAGCCGGCTGTGGGCCGGGAGCTGGTCGCTCCAGGCCTGTCCGGCTGCCTGGAGCCCTGTTGTGTCCGGCGGGCAGAGGGGGCCCAGGCCGGAGCCTGTATCAGTTCATTCCTGCCTCTCCCTGCCTGCGGGCTCCGGAAGTGGGTGCCCCGCCCCACGCGAGTTCTCTCCCTGCCCGGGCTGCGGGCGCCGGCCCCACCGCGCCCTCCAGGGCACCTCACCCGTCTCCCTCTGGGTTGGTGCCTAATGGCGCAGGGTGCTGGCCCCTTGGCGCCGCCTTGGTCTGAGTCACTTGTGGGTGCCCCTGCCTGCTCAGCAGGGAGCAGGGCAGCTTCTCCATGTTTGGGGCGCAGGCGGGTCTCTGCTAGGTCTGGCCCCAAACGGAGGGCAGCCCTGGCCAGTTTGGCTCAGCGGGTGAGCATCGGCCTGCGGACCAGAGTCCGGGTTCGGTTCCCGCAAGGGGCACGTACCAACAACGACGCCATAACGGAGGGCAGAGCTCCCCACCCCGGCACAGTGGGCCCCGCGCCCCGCCCCAGCAGAAGGTCCTCAGGGGTCCGCGCCTTGCACCCCGTCCGCCGGCGCTCGCACAGCGGGGTGCTCCGGGCGCTCGGCCGACCTGCGACCCCGAGGGGGCCCGTTATCTGCACGGTGCGGATCCAGTTGGGCCCAGAGAGGGCAGGCGGAGGTCCGGGATCACAGCGCCCAGAACCGAGAGCCCCGCGCCCCGTCCCCTTGCTCAGGTGGGCGCGGCGGAGCCGGCCACCTTGGGGGGCCCTTGCCTGCAAACTGCGGACGGGACTTGGCCCGACTAGGGGAACAGCCGCCCACCGCCGAGTCTCCTCCGCGCCCGGGCACCGCCCGCCGTGACCCCACCCTCCCGGCCCCCACGGAAGCGGGGCGCAGCGCCACCTGCTGGCCGGCAAGAACGGAGGCGCCCGGCCATGACGTCACCCTCCCGGGGACACCGGGGTGCAGGAGCCTGAAAGGGTCTGTCTTGGTTCGCGCCCGCCTTTGCAGGGGAGGAAAATGGGGTTCACAGGGAGCAAACCAAACCCCGGTCTCCTGCCCACGAGGATGCTCTCCACGCATGGCTCCCGTCCCTCCCGCGTCTGCAGCCGAGCTCTGTCCCCACCAGGCCAGAGCACCCCGGGGCCCAAGGACGCTGTCCACCGGCTTTGGCGTGAAGTGTCCTCCGTCTCTGCCGCCCAGACCTCCCCTCGGGTCCCACGGACACCCTGGGAGACCACTCCCTGAGGGCCCTGCTGCTCCCATCCTCTGCCTCACTTGGCCTTGGGGTCGCCTGCTCCCCCGGGGGCGAGAACACCCCACCCCGACAGTGTGGGTGGCAGAGGCCCTGGGGGCGTGGCTGGCACAATAGCCATGTGCAGAACCCAGCAGGAGCCCAGTGGCCTGAGGCAGGGAGCTTCTAGCCAGACGGGCTCCCAGGGTGTGTCCCCTGAGGGCCCGGGGCAGCCACCTGGCTCCTGGTCCTGGGCCCTCTGATAAGGGAGGAGCAGTTTCACCCTCATGACAGCCCGCCCTGCAGATAAGCAGAGCCCTGGGGACCCTCAGCCCTGTGGTTCTGCCTGAGGGTGGGGTGGGTGGTGCTGTGCCCAGCCCTGTCCCTGCCCCCACCCGGGGACTGGAGCTGGCCCGGCAGGGCCCAGCGGGAGACAGCGTTAGGGAAGGTGAGGCCATGCTACCCTTGTGAGTTACAGTTTTAATCCAGCCGCCCAGAGCCCGGGCCAGGTGCACTGCTGCTGAAGCCCCACCCAACCCACAGGGGCAGGCGGGAGGGTCCCGGGAGCAGAGGTTGTGAGACACCAGGGGCCGTGACCCACGCTGTGCCCCCAGTGGAAATTCGGAGCCCCCCTCTCATTCATGGCCCAGTTCAGCCCAGCTCCTGTCCCCTTCCCTGCTGGCCCAAGGTGTGGCTCGGGGGGCCTGTTGGGTGGAGGTCCCCTGCCCCCCAGGCGAGATGCAGAAACAGGAGAGGGCACCTTCGGAGGGTCAGCAGACACCGGTTCCTCAGGCTCCCGGGTAGGCGGGCTGCGGTGGGTTATACGGGGGAGGGGCTGAAAGCCAAAGAGACAGGATGAGGGTTCTGGGCACAGGAGCACGTGAAGTGACCCCCACCCCCAGGCGTGCAGGATTCGGGGAAGAGCCAGCCTGGGGGTCTCAGCTGGAGGCTGAGGGAGTCAGAGGGACTCAGGTGAGACAGGACCCGGAGGTCCTGCGGCAGGGGTGGGGGTCGGCAGGAGAAGGGGCTACAGGTTGTTCACTTACCTGCAGGGCTGTAGTTGGGGATCCCAGGGGGGTAGAGAGGATGCTGGGGAGGACCACTAGGTGGGCACATGAAGCCAGGTGGCAGGGGTGCAGGGCCAGCCTTGGGGTCCTGGGGGTACGGGTACACTATGTGTCCTGTCATTGGAATCTCCTGGCCTAGGTGGGGGACGAGGACCAGCATTGAGAGCTCCACCCCCATGGGGCACGTTGCCTCCTGCCCAGGAAACCAGGTGAGCCCACTGGCCACTCCTCGCTGGCTCCCAGACCTTGCGTCAGAGCAGAGCAGGGAGCTGGGCGCATGGCCCAGCAGGTCAGGCTTCAGAGACCTCATGAGCCTGGGGCGGGTCCTGCTGGGCCAGGACAGGGCTGGCATGTCATCACCCAGCAGGCTGCCCCGCCCTCCTTCCCTCGCGACCCCCAGGCCCACCACGCACAGGGACCCCCCCTCGAGACCCCCCCCCAACTTAGCAGGTGTGTGCAGCACTTCCCGCACACACCCTGCTGAAGGGTGGACAGTCACGTGTGCTCGGCCGTGTCCACGGCGGTGTCCCGGGCACCCCTGGCCGTCTCCCTGGGTTACGTGCAGGCAGGCGTGTGTACAGTTCACACACACAACCCTCTGCCGCCCTGGGCCTGGCCCCGCCCCACCTGTACCTGCAAAGGGGACCTGCAGCTGCTGGCGCCGGCGGGACAGGTAGCAGCAGGTGCAGAAGCAGCAGACGGCAGTGGCCATCAGGGCCACAAAGAGCATCACAGCTGAGGCAATGCCTGCCGTAACCTTGGGACTTGAGACAAACGGTCCTCTCACCTGCGGCACTCACAGGTGGGGTGGGGCGGGCAGTCCAGGAAGGCAGGCTGAGGCGCAGGGACAGTGTCCCCCAATACGCAGGCCCCTTAGAACCTCCCAGAGCCGCTCCTCCCCGCCAGTGGCCTCTTCAGAGAGAAGCCCGGGTACCACACCCTGGGTCCCCTCCATTTTATCAGGGAGCAAAGACCCAGACACCCAGCTGGTGAGCAGGGGGCCCCGGGTTAAACCCGTCCCCGCCTTCGGGCTACAGCTCCCTCCGCGGCACTGCCTGCGGTCTGGGTGTGGACCCTGGGCCTCCCTCCACAGGGCCTGACAGGACCGAGGGCCCAGCCCCAGCGACAGGGACTGTCCCCACGGGTGTCCGGCTGGGCTTAGGGTGGGCAGGTGGGAGGTGGGAGGAGGGGCCGCCCAGGCAGGCTCCTGGGAGGGTGCAGGGCGGTGGAGGCCAGCCCACCTGAGCCCCAGGCAGCGTTTCTGCTGAAACTCGGGGATGAGCAGGCTCTGGTCCCTGCAGCAGAACCGATGGTGGCAAGTCCCGCAGCAGAAGGTGAAGGGCTGGCAGCTGAACCCCGGGTGCCAGGAGTCCTGCTCGTCCACGTACCCCAGACAGCTCGTGCCAGCCAGTGCTGTGGGCGGGGGCGTGAGGCTGTCAGGCTGTCTGGCCGCCCTTAGCCCCACCCCATGGTCCCCACTGGGCCCCCCAGGAAGCCCCATGGCGGTCCCCAGCCCACTGAACCCCGCTCCATGAGAGCTGCTCCTGTCCCCACCCTGTGGGTCTCAGCCGGGCCCCAAGGTCAGCTTCCCAGGGCCGTCCACCCTTTCCCTCCCACTCCCTGCAGGCTCCCAGCACCCCCAGGGTCTTGGGGACCCCACTCCTAGCTCCCTGCCCCTTACCCAGGGGGACCCCCAGCATCAGGAGGATGGGCGGGAATGCCATGGTGAGAACGGGGTGCTGTAGGCACCGGAGCTGCGAGGGCTGCCTGATGCCAGGCAGGGCTGTGGTGGCCACGCCCAGGACCGGCCCACTGCTCCCCCAGTCCCTGTCCCCTCCCTTCGTGGTGGCTCTCCATGAGCTGTGGGCACCCATCCCCCGCAGCTGCGCCTGTCGTGCCATAGACCCGGGGCCTGGATCCTGAAGCCAGGAGGCCGGAAGGGGAGGGAGGAGAGGCTGGGAGGCACCCCGCCCCCACTCCCAGAACACAGGCCCCACTGACGGCAGCTCAGAGCAGCTTTGTCCCCAGTGGCCACAGGCACTGGCTCCTGGAGGTGCCCCCGTGTGGACAGTGCTGGCGGGCTCGGGCCTGGGCCTCACTGGTCAGGACGGCATCTGGGTGGACACCCCTCCTCAGAGCAGCCCTGCAGACATGCCGCCTGGCTGGGGCGCAGGGCTCAAGTGCAGGGTTGGGGGGCGTCCATCAGCCCCACAGATCCAGGCACCCTGACCAGGGCCACAGGCCCGACGGGAAAACCACAGGCGGCCTCCTATGGAGCACGTGGGCTTGGGCCTCATTTGGGACCCACAGTTCCACAGGCTCAGGCAAGGGGACAGGTCATGAACCCGCTTCAGACACCAGTGGGTTCACGACATGTCCCGTGCCCAGGAGGCGGCAGGCAGCAGAGGGCGTGGATGAGTCGTCTGGTGCTCTGCAGTGCGGGCAGCGCGGCCCGAGGCCCAGCGGGACCACCCGCGGGGAGGCGGAGGCCCAGCGGGACCACGCGCGGGGAGGCGGAGGCCCAGCGGGACCACCGCGGGGAGGCGGAGGCCCAGCGGGACCACGCGCGGGGAGGCGGAGGCCCACGCGGACCATCGCGCGGGGAGGCGAGGCCCAGCGGACCACACGGGGGAAGGGGAGATGCCAGCGGGCACGCGCTGGGAGGCGGAGGGCCCAGCGGGAACACCCGCGGGGGAGGCGGAGGCCCAGCTGGGACCACGCGCCGGGGAGGCGGAGGCCAGCGGGACCACCCGCGGGGAGGCGGGAGGCCCAGCGGGACCACCCGCGGGGAGGCGGAGGCCCAGCGGGACCCCGCGCGGGGAGGCGGAGGCCCAGCGGGACCACGCGCGGGGAGGCGGAGGCCCAGCGGGACCACGCGCGGGGAGGCGGAGGCCCAGCGGGACCACGCGCGGGGAGGCGGAGGCCCAGCGGGACCACGCGCGGGGAGGCGGAGGCCCAGCGGGACCACGCGCGGGGAGGCGGAGGCCCAGCGGGACCACCCGCGGGGAGGCGGAGCCCGCCCTGGCCCTCTGGGCGCTGGCATCCGTGTGGGCAGGGGGACTCTGGCCGGGAGGTGCTGGCGGCCTGAAAGGGCAGGGGCGCACCCTCGTGTGGGACAGTCATGAATGCAGAGGTCCCTCAGGTCCCTCCCCTCCCGACCCAAACACCAGAACCGGACACAGGGTCCTCGAAGGCTAATGGCAGAGCCGACAGCTCCTGTTTCACAGCTTCACCGGCAAGGCTCCGGCGGCTTTGCTACCAGAGTCGACCAGCAGGTTCAGATCCGGGCCGCACCCGTGGAAGTGGGGACTTGCCCACCATGGCCACGCCCGTGACAGGAGGAACGGCCGTTCCCTGCTGAACGCTGACCGCGCGTGCACGCGCTCCGCTGTCCCCGGGCCCCGCTGTCCCCGCGTGCACACGCTCCGCTGTCCCCGGGCCCTGCTGACCGCGCGTGCACACGCTCCGCTGTCCCCGCGTGCACACGCTCCGCTGTCCCCGCGTGCACACGCTCCGCTGTCCCCGGGCCCCGCTGTCCCCGCGTGCACACGCTCCGCTGTCCCCGGGCCCGCTGACCGCGCGTGCACATGCTCTACTGTGCTGCTGCTCGTGGCACTGCCCACACCGGGCACTTTCAGGTCCCCTCCTGGACCAGCACCTCCCTGGGCCCCAGGTGGCAACAGGCACAGTACCCAGAACCAGCTTTGTGAGAAGTGCGGTCTGTCCTAGAACGACCCTGTGATTTTCCAAAGCAGCGCCCCATGTTCCGAGTCTTCTCTGAGCAGGACTCATCAGCTCCTTGATTTTCCCGTGATGGCTCGTGGTCAGGGAGCCTGGACTGAGCAGCGGAGGGGACAGAGGGCTGTGGCCCGGCTGATCAGCACGGAACGGAAGGGGCCTAGCCTACCAGGACGGGCGGGGGCCGCCCCGCAGACCTGCGCACACGCGGCATCCAGACGTCACTCACCCCCGGCACAGCGGCTCCCCAGGCAGTGCCCCCCATGGCCCCGGCTTCTCCTGGATGCACACCCACCGGCACCTCTGAGCTAGACCCTCGTTTGGGTCCTGAACCGCCATCCCTCCCAAAGGTGTCCCGTTATCTAGAAACATGACCAGCACCGCCCCTCATCTAAGTATCTCTTGTCAACAGCCTCAGATTCCCTTTGGGAAGGGTGAGCCATCAAGGCCCTCAGGGCGGTGCTGTCACCAAGGGTCTCCCGTGGGCACCTGGCTCTCGAGCAGCGTTCTTGGGGATCATCTGCCGGCTCACTCTCCGCGACCAGCGTCACTCGCAGGTCAGCGACTTGCGACAACTGGTTTCGTTTCTTGGACTCTGACCTCCTCTCCTGTCTAGTGTTCCTCCGCTTCCTTCCGTTCGGTCCCCCGAGCTCAGTGAATCCTGGGAGGGCCCTGGGGTCCCAGCTGCTGAGCCCCAGGGTCCAACCCGCAGGCCCTCGGCGATCCAGGGGCCCCTTCCCATCCCCCTCTCATCCTGAAGGTCACCTCCTGCTCACCAGCCAGCCTCGCCCTTTCCAGGTGGAAGTGGGTCTGTTTGGCCCAAAGACAAGAGCAGCCGTTCAGCTGCGGCAGCACCTCGGGCCTCAGGCCCACCTTTCCTCCCTCCTGCCCGACCCTGGTGGTCTCCCTACTCTGCCAGCAGTGGACCAGCAACCGCTGGGCACCTGCGAGTGAAGTGACGCGGACATGAAGACTCTCTGGACCCAAGGACAAGGGATCTCACAGCTGGTGTCCCCGCTGTCATCAGGACGCTTTCCCGAGCAGGAGAGCAGCTGCCCGAGACTGTCCTTGGTCATCAGGGTCGCCTGACCCGGAGTGACCTTCAGCACTGACGCGGACGGTGGCCAGGCTGCCATCACTCCCAACACCAGTGCCCCCAGGCCCAGAAGGCAGAACGGCCTTGGAACCTGACGGGCAGCAGACAGATGTCCCTCCCAATGTGAAGGGCTGGACACCAGGGACACCTCGCAGCACGAAGCCATCCTGTCAACACCCCACGGGCCCTTCCTGGAGACTAAATCCCTTCACACCCGCTGCGTCGGGGAGGCCGCCAGGGGCCCTCACAGCTGTCAGACGGGCGCCAGCTGTGGGCACGCGGGACGGGCCCTGGGCTCGCCCCTCCTCCCCTCGTCAGCTCCTGCTCGCTTCTGAGCCAGGACAGACCAGGTCCCCATCCAGGGGCCTCAGAGCGACCTGGCTGGACCCTGGGCCTGCCACCTGGAGCCGGTCGGCGGGGGCCCCAGGGTCTGCACAGGCCCACCGGCCTCCGGCTCAGGGAAGAGGCAGAGGTGTGCAGACCGAATGCATCTGTAAAGGTCACTTTACTCTCCTAGAAAAGCACACGCTCGAGCCCGGGGCTGCGGCGACCACTCCGCCCTCCCTGCAGGAGGCCAAGCACCAGGCAGTGTGGAAGGGCAGCTTTTAGAAAACAGTTTTTCCTATTTTTAGAAAAAAACAAACAGGACAGACAGATGGCCATCGCCTGGCTCCCCGTGCGCAGGTGGGACACGGGACGGTGGAGGGGCTCCATGCACACGGGAGGGACGAGCGGGGGGGCCTCCGGCCCGAGAGCCAGGCGAGGGCAGAAGTGCGGCTCTCGGGGTTCCCACCGGACACAGCAGGAGCCGTGGGGGCACGGCGGCAGGATGAGGGGCACGGCTTCCCGGCTCGAGGTGGGCAAGGCCCGCGCACACACACGTCATCCTGGGGGCCGTCCCGGGCGGGCCCGCCGAGGACTGTGGGACTGGGTGGGGGCGCACTGGGGAGAAAGGTTCTAGAGGCGGTCATCTTCAGGGGACGGTGAGGACGTCCTCGTTCCAGCATCACTAGGTGACGGCACCGAGCAGCTGGGCCTCCACTGTCACCGGGGACACTGCAGGCGAGGCCGCGGCCAGGAGGCTGCTCTCGGCCGAGAAGAAGGCGCCCTCCAGGCCGGCCTCACTGGATCCCAATGGCCTGCAGCACCCTCCGCTCGCTGTCGCTGAGGTGGCCCGAGAACACGGCGTAGCAGGGCTGCTGCGCGAACTGGCAGAGGAAGTCCGTGAGGTATGCCTGCGGGGGGGTTGGGGAGGCACGCTGAGCTCCCCAGGGCACACGGGCTTCCACACAGGCCAGCACCCCAAGGGGTGGCTCCCCACATTCCTGGATCTGGCTCAGGTTCAACCTGGAGATTCAATCCACGAGGAGACAAGCCCCCTGGGACCCCTCTCACAGCCCCCCAGCACCTTCACTGTGGCCTCAAGAAGCTGGGCCACGTCACTGGTGTAAAACATGAGCAAATCCCCGCCCAGAGCCCAAGACACTCAGCAGACAGGAGCTCTGCCCGAGGCTGCAGGACGGGCCAGGATCACGTGCAGTCTCCGGACGCCTCACCTGCAGATCGATCTGATAGAGAGGGTCCTTCAGGGCGTCAGGGTCGTCGTCCTCGTCGTCCTCGTAGTAGTCCTCCTCTGTCGGCCAACAGGGAGGGAGTGCTCAGCGGGGCCGCTCAGGCCCACAGCTGCGGGAGGCTGGAGGGGCCTGGGGACACCCCAGCGGGCCCACTGGCCCTCACTGTCTGCGGGCACAGAAGAGGTGTGGCTACGCTGTCCTCCCCCAGACTGCTCACCGTATTTACTTGTGGCGAGAATGTCAGACAAGAGCTGGCCAGCCGAGCTATCCTCCTCCTCGTCCTCCTCCTCGTCCTGGTCCTCCCACATGTCATTGGAGTCGTCTGGTTGCAGGAAAAGCAGCTGCAGCCACGCATTCTCCCCGCCCCCCCTTAGCAGGCGGAACAGGGCCCCGAATCTCTGTGGCCTGCAGCCCGCAGAGGGCGAAATGGGTGGTGGACCTCCCTATAAGTCTGAAGAGTGGGTGTTCTGGTGGGAGACAGACACCCCGGGGGAAGCCATAGCAGGGCAGGCCAGTGCCGCTGGCCCCTGGCCGCTCCCACCCTCCCTGGGTTTCAGGGCAGAGCTGAGAGGCAGCTCTCTGCACACCAGCCACGCTAGCAGGTAGGGCACACGACAGACAGTCTGAAAGTGGGTGACTTGGTCTGCCCGGCACAAGGCCCTGGGAGCAGCTGAGCACCTTGGCCCCACTCCGCGGGGGTGGCCTGGCGGGCAGTGTTGGCCTCCATGACGCTGGACAGTTCGTTGATGATCAGCTTCAGGATCTTGACCAGCAAAGGAATGTTTGTCCAGCGCTCAGGGTCTGGGGGAAGAGGCTTCGAGTGAGACTCGCCGGGCTCCCCTGGCCACGCCCCCGTCCTGATGCTCAGCAGCCCACCCCTCACAGGCTCTCCACCCCGGCCACAGCCAGACAGGGTGTAGGGACAGCATTTCTCTGCCTGGCGCTGTCAGAGGTCAGGAGCTGGGGGAGGCGTTCGGGGTTAGAGCAGGCAGGTCCTGGCCAGTGATGAAGCTCGGACGGCAGGTGAGCGCGGGGCCGAGCACGCCACCCACTGCTGCAGGCCGCCGGGGTCCCAGGCCAACGGGGACCCGAGGACCGAGGACCGAGACGCAGTGGACTGGGCACATCGCTTCAGCAGGTGCCCGGTGCCAAGACGTCCGCCGGCGTCCAGCAGCAGGAATAACCACCAGGCGCGGACCTGCTCACCTGCGGCTTTCTGCTCCTTCTCAAGCCTGTCCTAACAGTCTGGCCAAGACCGATCACGGCGCACCCCTGCCTCCCCCGGGGCTCCCAGCGTCACCCACTCTTGGCGGCCTTGGCACGGGTGCGCACGCCCTCGTCCACGCTGCAGACCTCCTCGCCCTGCACGCGGATGTCCTGCAGCCGCCTGTCGTCCGTGTTGATCCCGTGCTGCAGCAGCTTGCACAGCGCCACCGAGCTGCAGGGGCGGGAAGGGTCCCTCAGCCCACCCGAGGCCGCTCCCGGGAGACGCGCATCACGCCCGAGACCGAGGGTGAGTTCTGTTCCCCGCCAATGAGCAGAGAGAACTGAGTGTCCACGGAGGTGCAGTGAGGGCAGCTGCTGAGCCCGGGACAGAGCCCAGGACAGAGGCGCAGGCCAGGGCAGGGGCTGGGCTGGGCTGGGCAAGGAGGAGCCCCAGCCGGCAGCACACGGGAAGGCTGGCTCGGGGAACCTCAGGGGCGCCAGGGGCAGTGAGACGCGTCCTCCACCGTCCAGGGTGCATGCCTGGAGCAGCAGCGAGAGGAGAGGCCCACCTGACTTTGCCCTCGTACTGGCCGTAGAACAGGTGCTGTCGGCTCGTCCACTCGGCCATCACAAACTCCAGGGCAGGCTTGCCGGTGGGCCCGGGGAGGCTGCACAGGAACTCCAGCAGCGGCTCCAGCTGGGTGTGCACCAGGTGGGCGAACACCATGATCAGGGACTAGGGGCGGCGAGAGGGGGCCGGCCATCAAGAAACAAAGGCACGAGCCTTCCTCGTGGGCGTCTCCTGGGCCGGCACCAGGATCGCACCCGACGGCCTGCAGGGCCAGCGTGCTGCCTGCACCCCGCCCCGCACCTGCATCACGCTCAGCGTCTCCGCCTGCTGCATCTTGCTGAGGATGGCGCGGAGGATCTGGTCCAGGTTCTCCCCCAGCTCGCGCCCGGCCGTGGCGATGAGGGTGGAGACGAGGCGGCCCACGAAGGCCGCGGTGAACTCGGAGGTGCGGGGGTCCAGCAGCTGGCTCACCGCCTGCACCACGTACCACAGCCCGCTGCGGCCCTGCTCGTCGTGCCACTGGGCCACCTGCTCCAGTGCCACCGACACGTAGGCCCGCAGGCACTCGCCGCCGTTCTGGGGGGAGGGCGGAGGCGGTCAGCAGCGGGAACAGGCCCCCGGAGGCCCCAGTCTGCAGGCCGGTGGGGGCTCGTCACACAGACACACCAGCCCCTCACCTCCTCGCTGTTTCCAAAATGCACTCTCGGCCCGCAAGGGCCCAGCACCCTGAGTGTTGCCCACAGGAGCCGAGCGCCCCCACCGCTGGAGGAGCACGCCCGAGACAGGCTGCGACCGGGGCCGCAGGCGCCTAGAGGTTCCAAAGACTCTCTTTCTCACTTTGTTCACAGAAGGAATACCCAGAAGAGACTTTCTCATGGCCCAAGTCTGAATGTGTGAACCTCTTCAACAGGGTGACACCCCAACTAAGGGTGTCTCCCAAGTGAGGAGCTGCCCTCCGCGGGCACCGTGGCCGATACCTGCATGGTGGCGTTGTCGTCCGTGTGCAGGGTGCACTGCGCCACGGCAGGGAACGCCTGGCAGATGAGCAGCTGGGACAGGGGGGGCTTTGAGCTCCGCACCACTGTGGTCAGGATGTCGATGGCTGTCTGGAGGAGAGAAGGAGGTCGGAGTGGCCCTGGGACGGGGAAGGCGGCCCCACAGCCAAGGTCCTTACTGTGTGGACACATCACTGCAGCCCGGAGAAAGCTCGTTAGTGGAAGAAGAGGGACAACGAGGGAGCTGTGCTCCCAGCCTCCTGAGGCAGCTCATACTTGACTGGCCGGGGTCTGGGAGGCGTATGGCAGTGGACTGGGCAGCAGGGGACGCAGGCAAGGGTGTTGAAAACGAGGTGCCTCTGGAGTAAGAGCCATTCCCGGGAGCCTCAAGAACCACCCATCCCCGTGGGCAAAGCAGCCAGTAAATTCACCCTGAACCTCGACAGTCACTGGTTTCCTGCCAGTTGGGTGGGATGTTCAGGTGGCAGAACATGAGCTCACACCTACTCACACCCCCACACCCACATCACACCCCCTTACACCTACTCACACCCCCACCCCCGCATCACACCCCCTCACACCTACTCACACCCCCACACCCGCATCACACCCCCCACACCCTCATACACCCCCACACCCGCATCACACCCCTCACACCCTCATCACACACCCCCACACCCGCATCACACACCCCCACACCCGCATCACACCCCCCACACCCTCATACACCCCCACACTCGCATCACACCCCTCACACCCTCATCACACCCCCACACCCGCATCACACCCCCCACACCCGCATCACACCCTCACACAGCCACCCCCGCACGGCCCGCGCCTGCACCCGCGAGGCTGTGTGCCCACTCACCGCGCACAGCCCCGCCGGGATCTTGTCTGCGGGCGCCTGCATTATGCTGACCAGAGTTGGGATCAGCCGCATCTGCATGGGCCCCTGACAGGCTTCGATCTGGGACAGCTCCTTAAAGATGTCCTGAGCCAGCGAGGCGACGACAGGATCTGCGTGGACAAGGCAAGGCCCCGCCTGACGTCCGCACAGGCTCCTGGCTCAGCGGCGCCTGCCGTGCGGCCTCGCCCACTCCTGCTGGGATGGCAGCCGCACACCTGGGACCCAGCGGCCGCAGGGACGCCCGAAGGAGCGGGAGCAAGGCCCCCTCCAGAGGCACACCTTTCCTCAGTTGTGGATGGGCCTGGGAGCTACTCCTAAAACCAAATTTGGCTCTTTTTCTGGGGCAAATCTTAAATGTCCTTAGTCTCGGGAAACCGGGACTAAGCACAGAACTAAATCCTCAAGGAACACACAGTGGCGCTGACACTCTGGAGGTGTTCCCCTCCCCGGGAGCCTGCCACGGCCTCCGCTCCAGGGCAAGAGCGGTGGGAAGATGTGGTCCTCAGCTGCAGCCGCCTGACCCGGAGACAAGTGTCCCCGCCCCACGAGAGACGCACGCAGCGCACGGAGGTCCTTAGAGGCCCTGACACACTGCTGTCCGTGGACAGGTGGGTACGTCAACTGTGAGTGTTCACGGAACGCACTGGCTGCAGAGTGAGGTCACCAACCAGCGCAGCGTGCAGACCTCCTGGGACACGCTCTCTGTGGGAGCGAGCAGTGCACTGTCACACTGCCCCCGAGCTGCGACACCCAGCTCCCCCCAACACAGACACCCGCAGCATTTCCTTTGATAACGGGAGAGTACTGTATAAAGTGACACATGTTAAAGGAAACAAAACACCTACAACCACACCTAGAGATCACTACCCTCGATATTCTGAGGTATCTTCTTCTGATATTTTTTCTTTATATGTATATTTACATACATCTTTTTCTAAAACAGCAAGGACTTGGAAGTATATTCTACGCACCTTGGACAACTGTCTACATTCTTTCATTGCTGTAAGTATCCTCCTCTGAGGCCCTGGCCGGTTAGTGTTGGCCCTTAGACCAAGGGTCGTGGGTTTGATTCCTGGTCAAGGGCATGTACCTTAGTTACAGGGTCAATTCCCAGCCCTGGTCAGGGTCCTGCGGGAGGCAACCAACAGAAGTGTCTCTCACATTAATGTGCCCCCCCCAGTCCCCCCGCTTTTGGTCTTTCTAAAAATCAGTGGAAAAAGTATCCCCGGATGAGGAACACACAAGACCTTCCTCCTGAGGTCCGACTTGCAGGGCTGCCCAGGACCACGGGAGCCTGCGACTCCCACAGCTGCGCCGCTGCAGAAGCGCAGGACGGGCACCTCTGTCGGCGGCCCCTGCGCCTCTGCCACCTCCCTCTGTAAACGCAGGCCGGGCCTCTTCCTGCCGGGAGCGGAGGTGGCTGCTCCATCTCCCACCTCACTGCAGAGCCCGAACTGGTCTGAGCTGCTCCTCACCCCGCCTCCCGCTCCCGAGAGGCGCCGCCGTGGAGCAGGGCTCTGCTGCCGTCCCGCTGAGCCCGCGGCCTGACCGCCCTGCTGACAGACCGCCAGTCTGTGCTTGGACGCGGGGGACGGTCAGCCGGCGCGGGCAGTGGGCGCCCGTGCCTACCGTTGCTGTACTTGAGGAAGATGGCGATGGTGAAGGGGCAGATCTTGCTCTCCACGCTGGCGGTGAACTCCGGGTCCACCGTGCAGACGATGCACAGCGTCTCCATCACCAGGTTCAGGACCTCGGAGCTGAACTGCGCGGCCAGGTGGACCAGGCCGTCCAGGACGCTGGGCAGGAAGGGCTGCAGGACGCGGGTGCTGCCCGAGGCTTTCAGCTGGTCGCAGTAGCTGGGGACAGAGGAGAGGCTCACTCACGGGGTCCCCCAACACGGCTGGTTTCTAATTAATAGCACGTTCCGGCATTTTATGTGTGTAGCTTAAGTTAGTTTACATCCTCCTACAGTGGCATGTTCCAGACACCACACCGCCCTGTCTGTGCCCCACGGACACCGGCACTGCCCTTTCTCTGTTTTCTAACTTACTTCTGCTTTGATCTTTGCTACTTCCTTTAAATTTCTTTCTTGCCCTGGCCAGTTTTGCTCAGTGGTTAGAGCGTTTGCCCACAAACCGAAGAGTCCCAGGTTAGGTTCCCACTAAGGGCATGTACCTCAGTTGCAGTTTGTCCCCGGCCCTGGTTGGGGTCGTGTGGTGGCAACCACTCGACGTCTGTCTTCCTCCCCTGCTCCCTCCCACTCTATCTGAAAATGAATGCAAAAATGTCCTTAGGTGAGGATAAAAAAAAAAAAATTTCTTTCTTGTTCTGCCATCTGTTTTCAGATAAATCCCATCATATCATTATGTCCAAATTACTGAGATTTAAGTTACATGCCTACGATCCCAGACTACTGCTTTAACATTCCTAAGATTTGGATATACATATTCTTGCTACTTTCCAAATACTTGATGTTTTTTTTTAATCCTCACCCAAGGACATTTTTCCATATTTTGTTCAGATAGAGCGGGGATGGGGGGGACAGAGACGGACACATCGATGTGAAAGGGACACACTGAGTGGCTGCCACCTGCAGGACCAACCAGGGCCGGGGACAAACTGCAACCGAGGTACGTGCCCTTAGCGGGAACCGAACCCGGGTCTCTCCGGACCGCAGGCCGACGCTCTAACCACTGAGCCAAACCGGCCAGGGCCACTTGATGTTTTAATGTCTTTTCTGACATAACTTATTTTGAAGACACTATGTTTGAACGTCACGTCAGAAGTGGGCTCCTCTGTTCTGGCGGCAGCTAGAACCACCAGATCGAGCCCTGTGAGCGCCCTGCGCCCGCTCTGCCCGCCAGGCCTCGCCCCAGCACCTCCCTGGAGGCTGCTCCCCACGCCCGGTGGGGCCAGCGTCTTAGTCTTCACTCTCGCTCATCTTCAGGGTGGCGGCTGAGGCCACTACAAACTTTCTGTGTGTTAAGAAGCCTAGAGCAGAAGCAAGGCCTCCGCAGGTGCTGGACGAATGTCACAGAAGGGCTGAGTGCTGCCCGGAGCGTCGGCCCCGCAGCAGAAGGCCCGCGGCCCTGCGGCGGCTCCACGCCCAGACACTCAAGGCCGCCTGCTCTGCCCGGCCTCAGAGCTGACCTGGACACTGGCCTGGGGCTCCCACGCCCTCCCTGCCTCTCACAGCTCCCACGGCACTGTGTCCGAGGACGGAGGGATGCGGCCACCTGGCTGACCACTGCCCACAACGCACAGCCCGGCTCTGCTTCGAAGGCAAGAGCGCAGGCAGGTGCACAGCAACCTGTTCTGAGGGCGCCAGGCTCTCTTCAGGGTTCGACTGAAACTCCAGTTGGGCTTCAACATGTTCCCCGAACAAGGCTCCCTCTGGTCTGGGCAGGGACTTAGTGCGTGGCCGGCTGAGGCCTGGTACGCAAGCTGTGAAGGGACAGGACTGGGGACGAGCAGGGTTTCTAGGCCACAATGTCTCGAGCTTGGAGGCGCGACCCCCCCGAATGCCTGAGCTTTGCTCCTGTGGTCCACTGTGCAGGCCGTCGGACAAATGTCACCCTCTCGGGCCTCAGGTGCTTGACCTTTGCAGAAGGGGCCAGGCCTACAGGTCCCCGGGCCAGGCCGAGTCCCGGTGAGGACCAAGAGGAAGCAGGGCTCACGGGCTCAGAGGCCACGTTCCGGGGACACCTTCCTCGGAACCCGCCGCCCGGCACCGCTCTGCAGAAGGCCCTCACCAGGGACCTCAAGCACCACGCCCACTGTCAGCCCCGCCCGGGACTCGGCTCAGTCATGGCCCCTCAGATCGCTCGTCACCCCGAAGTGCGTACTCACCCCCAGACGGCTCTCACAGCCGAGATGCGAACTGACGGGGGCTGTGTCTCATGAAGGCCACTAACTGTTGCCTGTAGAAACTGCTGGATCAATTCAGGGGACATAGCGACAGTGAACCGACTGGCAGCCCAAAGTGCCCGACCCAAGAGGAAGGGAGACACTGGGAGGAAGAGAGAACAGTTAGGGGCTGGACACCAGCATCCTGACAGGCCCTGCCTGCTCCCACCCACCCCTGCACTTGTCCGCCACCGAGACCGCAGAACAGACAACGTAAGTGACAGGAAAAGCATGACCCTTTCACCATTTGCAAAGCAGACCCTGAACATTCTCAGACTAAAGACACCCCCCACCCCCTCACCTGCACGGCCAGCCAGCCCTCCACACACATTCTCTTCCCTGGGCCACTGCCAGAACACCACAAACTACAGCTGTCCCCCTTCCGACACATGCCCGTCAACGCTGGGCTGCCGGGAAGTGAGCAGCCCGGTCAGCAGGGTACTCAAGGCCCCGAGAGGAGTAACTCGGTGTTACCTACAATCGCTCTCATGGCCTCAACTCAGGCACGCCCCACCCCAGCAACTCACACCTTCTCGGTCCTGTGCTGTCTATAAGCCAACACCTCTCCCTGCACCACCATGGCCCCGTCGGGCCGAGGGAGCCCTAAGCCTGAGCCGTGGTGCCGCTGCGTCCCCAGCTTCCCCCGTGGCCCCTGGGGCACACAGCCGGAGGACAGACGCACCTCCTCAGCGGCAGGGCTTCCGAGTTACGCCATCAACACGCAGTCAGGGGGTCCACTGAGAGAACCCCACAAACCGTCAGCCAGGTGACCACACTGACCCACATCGCATGCAGCGACGGGTCTCAGGGGTGGCCCGGGACGGCGTAAGCCCCAATAGTTAGAACTGCTTTCTCACGGTGCCAGGACACCCGTTCACTCTCACTCTCTCTCGAGCGCACAGGGATTTCAGAGGTTACGGGATGTACATTTCTTGTATTTTACAATTTCTCCGTTTTAATGGCCAACATGTTAAGCACTGATCATTAAAAACGGCTGGTACGGAACAGCTCTCAGCTGTAGCCGGGACAGTGACGTTACACAGTGAACCTTCTGCAGTCTGAACACTAAATGTTCTCAAATCTCATGACTTTTTGAAGATGCTCTGGAGGGAGAACTCTACCAAAACATGTTGACAGGCAGAGAAGTCCCAGAGCCCACACAGTGCCCGCCCCAGTGCCCGCTCCCGGAGCCTGCGGGGCAGATGCATGGGGCACGCCTGCCACTGTGCACCTCATGCCTAAGAGGGAGACACCCCCAGCCACGGCGCAGCACCCAGCACCCAGCGGAGGAGCTGCAGCCTGACCGCCCCGCCAGGGCCAGAGCACAGTGCTGGCAGGAGTGTGCTCCCAAAGGGGCGTCCGCAGAGGAGGCGCGTGGACGAGCTGCAGCTGCAGCCACCAGCCAGTGCCCGTGCTGGCTCTGTGCGCGGAGGCAGAGGAGCTGAACATGTCAGTCAAACACCACGAGTCTCCACGGCCATCCGCAGGGCTGGGGAGTCGGTCTAATGCGGTCACGAGAACAGAGCACTATTATTTGGATACCGGCCAGGAATACAGCGCGAGGAAAACGTCAGGAAGCAAACCGAGGACGAGCCTGACCGAGACGGCCCCAGGTGCTCTGTCTTGCCGACAGCGGAGCTCGAGTGCTCAGGGCGCAGCAGCCAGACCTCGTCTGTCCCAGTGCCCAGACGGCCGAGCACGGCGCGAGCCTGGAGAGGAACCATGACGAGGTTGACGGTGGTCTCTTGGTGCAGATGAGCCACGGTCTCGGGCTGTTCAAGGGTTCGGACGAGTTCAAGCTCCAGGTGCCCGAACTTTCCCTGAAGGACACACGCACCTGCCTTACCTCTCTCAGCGAGCAACACAGACGAGCTGAGACCCACCTGAGAGGCTGAGGTCCGCCAGGACCACGCCGGTCAGGAACCCGTGCATGTCGAACTGCACCCGGCCGCTCTTCACGCTGTCGGTGATGATGGACTTCACGGAGCCGAGCGCCAGCATGCACGCCTCGTGGATCTTCCACCTGCAGAAGGGATGCCCTGCTCGTGAAACCCCCAGGCCGCCGAGGCCGCGTTCAAGGGAAGGAGGCTCAGGAAGGGCACTCCGGCACCACCTGCCCTTCCCACCTAAACTGGAGCAGAAACAGAAACTCAGGAACAGTTTTCTAATGAGAACAGAGTGAAGCTGCTCCTCTCAAGGCTTTTCAGAAAGGGGCCGACAGAAGTCTGAACCAGCTGTCATCAGGTTGGGAAGAGCGGCTCTGAAACTGAAGAGCCGCAGGCGGCCGAGGCCCGGTGTGTCCCGGAGGCCCAGGCCCCTTACCAGTGCTCAGCGCCGCTGTTCTTGGTTTGCTCGGCCTCCTGGAAGTGCCGAGTGGCCGCAGCGGCCAGAGCAGCCGCACTCTCGTTCTGGAAGTCAGTGGCCACAGCCTAGGGAGACAGGAGATGGGCTGATTCCTGTCTGTGCCAAGTAAACCCAGTTTGGCTGCAAACTGAAAAGTTCACTGCACACCGGCCAAACTCGCCCCCGCAGGCTGGGCTGGTCAGGCCCGAGAGCAGCCCTCCCAGTGCAGGGAATGGGACCAGAGCAACGCCCCACGGGCACCGGCCCTCTGGCAGAGCCCACGTGAGCAAGGAGGCTCCGCCCGGGTTGGCAAAGGACCAGACATTATTATATGGGGACTGACTGGAACTGAAGGCTAATCTGCTCAAGGGAACTTCGTGTGACCTTCCGTAGGTGCCCCAGAAACACTAAAGCACGATGAGCAGAGCTCCCCGACGAGACCGACCTCCCGCCCTACAGGAGGCCCGTGGCTGCTGCACAGAACGTCAGCCTGGAGACCATGCTAAACCCTAGTCAGAGCTGTTCCTCGGCGACCTAACCCGCGTGTTTGACAGCGTCTCGCCTGCAGGCTCCTGCGCGAGCCGTCCTCGCCCGAGCACTGCGCCCTCTGCACGCTTCCCCAGCAGTCACGGCCAAGGCAGAGCCAGCAGCAGTGACCTAGGAGTCCCTGGATCTCAAACGTCACTTGACACGCTCCCTTGTTACTCCTGAGAAGTCCGGGAGGAAGCTGCCAACACCGCCCCGCTGGGCTAGCTGTCTGGAGAGGGAGCCGAGGGGCTGTCCAGGCTGTGGCCAAGGGGTCGAGGCAGCCCCTCACCAGCAGCAGGTCCTGAGCTGCGATCCTGACGGTGTAGGAGAAAGTGTCATCGTCCTCGTCCTCCACGAACTGCTGGGGGCTGGCGGTCCACACTTTGATCTGAAAGGACGAGGAAGTTAGGCTTTGGCAGCCTGCCAGTCTGGGCCCCAGGTTCCCTCTTCATCCATGCCCACGGGAGGATGGCAACCTCTTGTTTTTCCTGAACAAAAGTCTAGCTTCCAGTCTCTCTTTTTCCCCCCTTCTCTTTGATGCAGAGAAGCAAGTCCTTTATCACAGTAAACGGCAGAAGTTACTACTCTCCAAGGACACTCTGCTAGAATGTGGCCGGTCACTTAGTCTCTGCTGCTGTCAATTAGCTGCTACCTTTCCAAAAAAAAATCCTCAGTCGAGGATGTTTATGGATTTTAAGGGGGGCAGGGGGAGAGGGAACACTGATGAGAGAGAAGAACACTGATTGGCTGCCTCTCATCATACCCCAACTGGGAACAAACCCAAAACCTAGGCATGTGCCCTGACCAGGAACTGAACCCAAAGCCTTTCAGTGCCCGGGAGGGCGCTGCAGCCTCCTGCGCCGCACTGGCCAGGACCAGCTCCTACAGCTTTACAGACCAATTTTCTGAATATGCTAGATACGATGGGATATTTAATGGGAACGTTATGTGGATTCTTATGGTTTGCACAGCAGAGGCATTATGTTTTTTAATATCTTAAAAAATTTTTTTTCCCCTTTATTGATTTTAGAGAAGTCACAGAGAGAGATAGAAACATGGATGAGAGAGAACATTGACTGGCCGCCTCCTGCACGCCCCCCACTGGGCATTGGGCCCACAACCTGGGCATGTGCCCTGACCGGAAATCAAACCAGCGACCTCTTGGTACAGGGTCGATGCTCAACCACTGACCACACCAGCCGGACACACTGTCATGTTTTAAGTGCTGTTTTCTGGTCTAACGATCAGGCTGGTGCTCTGAGCTGTTTCACTGTTTACAGAGCAGGAACAGGCTACCCAGGTATGAGGGCCTCTGGTCAGTGGTCCAGAGAGGCTGAGGTCGAAGTGTCTGGAAGTCACCACCCCGGCCGCAGGGGCACGGCAACGCCGCCTCGCAGCCCCCCAGAGCCTCACGGAGCTCCTCTCCCAGTGCCTGCTCCTGGAAGTCAGCTGCCGCTCGCCCTGGGCCTTGTCCGGCTGCGCCCCGCCCGGGCGGCCTCACCTGCTCCTCCGTGATCTGCATGTAGAGGATGATGTAGTACACCAGCTCCGGCAAGGCTTTCCTGACGGTGCTCTTGAACTTGCTGTTCTCCAGCAGTGCGTGGACAAACTCGAAGATGCTGAAGACCAGGTTCTCGAAGCCCAGGACTTCGCCTGCAGAAGTGCAGAGACGACCGTGACAAGAGGCCAAGGGCAGCGTGCGGAGGACACGGCACCTCCTGCTAGTTCATGCCTGCAGCCCAGATAAAGGCCGGGGCTGAGTGGTCAACGGGAGAAGCTGTGAGGATGTCCAACACTGGTTTTCCGAGAGTCAGAAACACCAAATGTATTTCCCTGTGCGTCTGTTTGTGTCTGAAACACTTAAAACTATTACAACAACAAAAAGTGTCACCCCAGGGTGCAGGCAGCGCCCGTGGCCGCGTGCCCCACCCCCAGGTGGAAGGAGAGGCAGGGACGTGCAGGAGGGGCCTCTAGCAACCGCGCTTCCTGCCTCTGGCTGCTCCCTCCCTGGGCCTGTCCCGTCAGACACGCACCATCAGAGTCCACAGGGTCTTCCACTTCTTCTGTGTAGTTGACTTCTGTCCTCACGTAAGTATGGTGGAGAGTCAAGAAACAAAGTCTGCAGTCTGTGTTACCCATGCTCTACACGGGGCGGGAGAGCTAAGGGGAGACGGCTCACACGGAGAGCGGATGGTCCGCGAGCCCCCATGAGGGGCCCAGCACTCGACCCCCGGCCTATGGCCCAGCCGCGGCCCGGAGGATATAAGGCGGCGCTCTCGGTCAGCGTGCTCCAGACGATGGGGAGGACCTGCTGCATGGAGGCCACCATGTGCCTGGGGAAGTTCTTCACCAGCGCGGTCACTGCCTGCGCGCCAGAGAACAAGGCCAACAGGAGACGTCAGGGCCTCAGACAACCGTCCCACCCCCGGCCCTCACGGTGCTCAAGGCTGACCTTCAGGACTTCCATCTTGAACCCACTGTCGGACGTGGGCCCGTCCGGGATCTGCAGGGCCTGCACGAAGGCCTCGGCGAACTGCTGCACCACCGGGAAGATCAGGACTTTGGCTGCGCCCTGAAATGAGAGCAGCGTCGGCGCCGGTCCAGCTCTGGCAGCCGAGGCCCCTGCAGAGCCACTGCCAGACCGACCCCCACACGGCCTCCGAGAGGCCCTCTGCTCGCTTTCCCACGAGGACCACGAGCACTAGCGGGGCTCTGGGGGTCGAGTGTGACGACTGTGACGAGGAGCAGGGCGAGGCCTTGGGAGAAACAGGGCTCCAGCCAGAGGAAACTGAGCCTCGTACGACCGAATATTCCCCAGTGTCCAGTGTCCCCGCCACCCGGCCATGAGCCGTCTGCAGAGCGCTGCTGCCCACAAGGAGGCACCCGAAAGTGACCCGAAGGTTTCCGTACCTTCTCCAGCTCCTCCATGGTGCAGATCATGTGGGCACAGGTGGTGAAAATCTCCACCGCTCGGGCACGGGTCCGGATGCCGTACACCTGGGGGCAGGGAAGCAGAGCCGTGAGGCTGCTGTCTGCCCCGCGGAGGAGGAGACTGGCTTCTCCATCCTGGCGTGGACTGGAGACCCCGAAGAGATGGCAACGCCCCCTACTCGTGTCCAGAGGACAGATCCCGTCATTCGGGAATGAAAAGCAGCAGAATCTTAGAACTTATTGGAATGAGCCTTCTATGTACGCAGGCCTCTGTGGGCTGGTCTGACGGAAAATACTAGGCTGCCCGGCCAGCGAGGCTCAGAGGTTGAGTGTCGAGCCTGCACCAAGAGGTCCCGGTTCGATTCCCAGTCAGGGCACATGCCCAGGTTGTGGGCCCATCCCCAGTGGGGGGCGAGCAGGAGGCGGCCAGTCGATGCTCGCTCTCTCTCTAAAATCAATTAAAAACAAAACAAAAACAAAAGACCACCAGGCTGGGCACTACTTGGAAGCCCAGCCGGTTACTGTGTCATTCGAAATGCAGACCCTGAGCTGGGGGCAGAGGAGGCGGCTCACAGCCCGGCAGTGCTCCTGGCCCCTGGGGAGCGTCCCCACTTGTGCCCCCTGGGCACATCCATCCGCAGTGTGCGCCGCAGGCGCTGCGACAGCCAGCGCGACGCTTCCACAGGCCCAGGGTCCAGAGGCTCCGGTGCGAGGCCTGGCGAGAGGCTGGCGGGAGACACGTGATGAAGGACGGCCATTCCGTGTGTCCTCGGGAGTGAGCGGTCTCCGTCTTCAGGCTGGGCATCAGCAGCCAACACCCGCCTCCCACCGGAGCCTGTGCAGCCCTGTCTGCTGACCTTGGCGCGGAGACCTCGTACCTCGGCCATGGTGAAGATCTTGTACATCTCCGGGAGGATGACGGGAGCGACCAGGGGCATCTGTGTGTCTGTTACTTCCCGCGTGAACTCTGCAGAGGATAGGAGCACTGTGAGCCCGTGCTCTGCGAGGAGACATCCGGCGTGAGGGCTCCAAGCCACCTCCAGGCGGCAGTGCCCCTGACGGCCACAGGTGCCCGCTGGCCTGCGGCCTTGCCCTGGGAGGGAGATGCAGCGAGAGCTGCTAATTACCGGGTAGAAAAGAAAGAGCACAGCACAGAGACAGAGGCGAACACGAGACTAAGAAAGAAGCGCTGCACAGGCACTGAAAGAGCCTGAGACCGAAGGGGCGAAGGCCTTGCGGTCTCAGGAAACTGCATCGACTTCTGTGGCCACGGCCGACCCATGTGCGCGGCAGGTGCCCGCCTTCGCTCCGTCCCCAGCAGTCGCCCTGGAAGCTGCTGTGTGCACGCGATAGATGCTATTAGGCTTCCGTTCCCTAGGCTGCTCTTCCCTGGGAGCGACACCGCTGACCTAGAGCGAGAGCCTGCTGCTCAGCGGAACACAAATGTGCCACAACGCAGCCCACGTGGAACGAGACCTGCAGAAGGCGAGGAAGCCGGGTCATCCCTTTATTTCCAAACCCCCGGAGGCGCTGAGCGCGCGAAGGACCTGGGTTTCCTGCTACTAAGTGCTGATTCCCATGTCTGCTTCCTTCATCTCTGCTAAACGACCACAGCTCCAGCGAGGCAGATACCATCGTTACCCTAATCTTACACACAGGAAACCCAGGCTCGAGGTAAAGCCAGAACACGACCTGAAACCGGAGCGCGTGGCCACCACGCCACGGCCTGTCCTCGAGCACGGAGGCCTGAGCAGACACGACAACGGAACTCCCTGTGAAGGGCAGGCGAGGTGGGAGGACAGACAGGAGGCGAAGCCTGGGAGGAGCAGCACCAGGGGGAGCCACACGGGTCCAGCCCGCTGCTCAGGCCCTCCCAGCACACGCCCTGCAGCACCTGAAGTCCAAGCGCCACAGCAGGGAGGCTGCTAGTACCTGTCAGCACGCGCATGGCTCCGTGGACTGCGTTCAAGTCTCCGCTCACCAGCATCCCCATGAGCAGGCTGAAGAGCTGGGGCCAGGCCTCGGGCCAGTCCCAGTGGGCGATAGCTGACACCGCGTAGGCCACACTGGAGCGCACCTTGCTTATGGACTCTCTCAGCCCGTTGGGCAACAGCTCCCGGATGACAATTTTTGCCTGTAGGAGAAAAGGCCACCTGCCATTTGATCAGGTTGTAAGTGGTTAGCAGAGCACCACCAGCTCACATATCAGCAAAACAACGTTTGCAAGACATGGCCTGTCTGTGGAGAGCTCAGACACGCAGCCTGATGGGTGAGGCACCGGCAGAGCCCCTGCGCCTGCACCACCCGTCACAGCAGCGCTGGCGCCCGTGTGGGTGCAGTGACCACAGTGAGGGACGTCGGAAGCCTCAGTCCCTCAGCTGCACGGCCACACTGTGAGCACCACGGTCTGAACGCGCGCAGACGCTCCGTGAACTAGAGAGCGCCAAGGACAGCTGACACTCAAAGCTCCTCGGGGCCCAGAACGGCTGCAGGGCTCCACACTAAACAGAAACCGCTTCATTCAACCCTCTAACAATTCTTTGGAAGTTGGAATTTTAATTCTAATTTTAGAGAACATGGAAATGGAACTTCGAAGAAAGACCCTTCCCTAATATTGCAGACGGGACCTGAGAGCTGGTCAGCCGCCACTTGAGCACCAGTGCCCCCACCAGCACCAGCCCACCTCCTCTGTCCAGGCCGGCCGGCCAGTGACTGCCCTTACCCTCTCCGTAGTCTCTGGAGGCCTGAACTTCTCCGAGTGGGCACACCAGTGCGTCTCCACATACTGCTTCAGGATGACGGACGCCAGCTGCAGAGAGGAGGAGCCACGCGGTCCACAGCGAGAAAGGCTTTCTTCATGTACATGGCCCGACCGGTCACCCTGAGTATAGCTGAATCTGGTGCCAACCCCAGGTCACTCACACAGTGGCCTTGTCTTTCTCTTTCCCACAAAGATGTGCCATTACCAAGTACCGGCATTACTTATACACTGGCCCAACCAGCCTGGACTTACCTGACGGATTGCCAGGGCCCCCTGGGGATCCACGGTCAGCTCAGCCAGGTGAACACCAAATTCTGAAAGAGAAAACCTTACTGTGAGGCTAAGAACACTCAGGAAAACCACAGCAATGTGCTGAGCACTAACCCTGACGCCAACGAGAGTGACTTCAAAAAGGAGCTTGATACATGGCTCCGGCAGCACGGTGAGGCCGGCTCCTCCGAGGAGCAGCGGAGCAGGTGGCCGCAGGCACGGTTGCATACAAGGAAGAGTCCCAGCACCAGCACACCTTCTGTTACCGCGAAGCATCTTCCAGACCCTTCCCTTCCAAGACAGTGACACCTTCCTCTTAAACCAGTGAGTGTGGCAGATAATGGAAAAGCAGTGCTATCTAACCCCAAGGAAAGGTAAAGAACGAGAGTTCAGGAGTTGATCAGACACACGCCCCCAGAGGAGCGATGACCTCGTCTAAGAAAGTGGCTTCCACAGGTGGAGTCCTATGGACACCACTGTGGCAAATCCACGGCTTTCTGCAAGCGGCTGCAGCAGTGACCTTGGCGTGGGCGCAGGAGGCTAAGGGACTCTTGCTCCCAATGGAAATTTAGATCATAAATGCACCCCCATCAAGATCCCAAGAGGTTTTTGTGTTTTTTTCCCCAGAAATAGAAAGATCCACCTGGAATCTCAAGGGAGCAGAGAGCCACAGGACCAAAGCTGCAGCCGTTTCCTGGTTTTAGGCCTTAAGACAAATCCACAGCAACCAGAACAGTGGTTCTGGAATGGAGACACACACAGGCCAACGGAATAGAACGGAAGCCCAGAAGCACCTTCGAATCCATGGTCACGCGATTTCTGATAAGGGTGTCGAGTCAGCTCGGTGGGAAAGGGCAGTCTTCAACAAACAGCGCCGGGAGAACCGGGCATCCACAGGCCAAAGGGTCAAGTAAGACCCTTCCCTAACACCATATACAAACATTAACTCAAATGGACCATGGCTCTAAATGTAAGACTTAAAACAATAACCTCTGACAAGAAAACACAGGATAAGAACTTCATGACATTGGATTTGCAATGGTTTCTTCATGACACGAAAAGCACAGAAAACAAAAGAAAAATAGACACATTGGACTTCATAAAAATGAAAAATTTTGTGCATAAAAAGAGTAAAAAAGGCAACACACAAATGGGACAAAATATTTGCAAATCATGTATTTGATAAGGGATTAACATCCAGAATATATAGGGAACTCCTGAAATTCAACAAGAAACAACTCAATCCAAAGATGGACACAGACTCAACTAGACATGTTTATAAATGAAGATACATAAATGGCCAATAAACACATGAAAATATGCTCTAGTCATCGTGATGTAAATCAAAACTACGAGATACCACCCAGCTGCTGTAGCTCAGTGGTTGAAGGTCGACCCATGTGCCAAGAGGTCGCCGGTTCAATTCCTGGTCAAGGCACATGCCCAGGTTGTGAGCCTGATCCCCAGTGGGGGGCGTGCAGGAGGTGGCCAATCAATGTTCTCTCTCACTGATGTTTCTACCTCTCTCTATAAAATCAATAAAGAAAAAATAAAAACAAAGCAGAAAACAAACTACGAGATGCCACCTCACACCCATCAGGATGGCTACGACCAAAAACCAGAAAACCAGTGCTGGTGAGGACGAGAAGAAATCGGAACCCTGAGTGCTGCTGTGGAGAACAGCCACCATCGTGGTTCTTCAAAGTATTAAACACAGAACTAACACATGATCCAGCAATCCTACTTCTGGGTATTTCTCCAAAGTAAACAAAAACACTAAGTCAAAAAGATATATCCACCCCGTGTTCATTGCAGCATTATTTATAATACCAAGATAGGGACAACCTAAGTGTTTGACAGATGAATCAATAAAGAAAACGTGTACATATACAATGGAATATTATTCTGCCTTAAAAAGAATAAAATTTTTCCATTTGCAACATAGATGGACATTGAGGGCTTATGCTAAGTGAGTCAGAGAGAGAGAAACAAATACTGTAAAATCTCATTACATGTGGAAACTAAAAACAAAACAAAACAAAACAACTGGAGCTCACAGGTGGAGAGAAGCGTCTGTGGGCTGTCAGAAGCGGCGGGTGGGTGACACGGGTGAAAGGGGTCAAGGCACAAACTCTGTCATGAAGTAGGCCGACCCAAGGGTGAGGCACAGCATGCCAATCACAGGTACCAACACTGTGCAGCCTACTTGGAAGTGGCTCAGAGCAGATCTTAAAGTTCTCATCACAAGAAAAATAAAACTCCTGTCATTAAGAATCAGTTACTGTGCCCCGGCCAGTTTGGCTCAGCCGTAGAGCGTTGGCCTGCGGTCCAGAGAGACCCGGGGTTTGATTCCCGCTAAGGGCACGTACCTCAGTTGCAGTTTATCCCCGGCCCTGGTTGGTCGTGCGGGTGGCAGCCACTCGATGTTTTCACATCGATGTTTCTTGCGCACGTGCATGTGCGTGCTCACTCCCCCCCCCCCACTCTATCTGAATAAAAAATGGAAAAATGTCCTCAGGTGAGCATAAAAAACAAAAACAAAACAGTTACCGTGATATTCTATTTTTATTGCCTATCATGAGTACATTGTTCAGCTTTTCTACCTACATAACGAGTTACTTTCCATAGGGAGTTCCAACTAGCATCACCGGAACAGCTACCTCATCAGTGACTGATACAACTGTGCTAAGACCCTGCTTCTCTTCAGACTTGTGGGTCCCGCCTGCACCCATTACTGTTGTTTGCCTGATGGTGCTTTTATTTTCTCCACTTACTCATCTCACCCCATGGGCTCCCAGCTAATGCCGTTGTTTGGGTTCCGTGGCTCAGAGCCTCCACGCTGGCCACTGGCGCTCCTCCAGGCTGGCTCCTGCGTCCCCCCACACACTCCCAAGCTTTTCAAGCCCTTACTCTGATATCAGAAGACATTCTCGGCTCACCTTGTACTTTTCCTGCCTAAGCCCTGGAATCAACTTTCTCTCCAAGGAGCCCTGGAGCTTGCTGTTTAGAGACCAAGATCTCACGCTGGGTGTGCTCGTTGCCACTGGGGTGTCACTATTCTTGGCCCTGTCACAGAACAGCACTAGGAAATATATGTGGATATACTGCGGACCTTTAAACACGGGGGTTGGGAGTACCAACTGCCTGTGCAGTGGAATATCCATGTATAACTTCTGACTCCCCCCAAACTTAACTACTGTTGACTGGAGGCCTCACCAATAACAAAAATAGCTGATTAACAAATTTTGTATGTTCTCTGTGCTATATACCATGTTATCACAATGAAGTAAGCTAAAGAAAAGAAAGTGTCATTTAGAAAGTCGGAGAGAAGAGAAAATACATTTTTTAAAAAAAGAAGCCCACATGTAAGTGGACCTGCACAGCTCAAATTTAGGTTGTTCAAGGGTCAACTGTACTAGCCTAAGTGTACTGAATGCATTTTCAGCCATGACACTTTCTATCTAGGATGGGTTTATCTGGACATCATTGTAAGCTGAGGGGCGTCTGTATTGATATCTCAGAGGCCGATCTAATTCCTCAGTGTCCTTTCTCCTTTCCTCCTTTGTAATTCTTTCTCTGACAGTATAACACTGGCTGATTATCTACAATAAATCTACTTATTTGTTCAATCTTAGCATACACCACTTACAGAATTGTCAATCCACTCTTGTGAAAAACATTCACTGGAGGACAATTTTTGTATCTTTTTTACTTTAGTCTTATAACACAAAATCAAAATATTTTTCCAAAGTTACTTAAATTGGTTCTTTTCTCCTCTAACACCTAATAGAGATTATATTATTCATTTGTAATACAGTTAGGTTCACTTGTTAGCCCTTGTACCCCATTTTGGACCTCTATTGTTTACTGGGGGGTATGTAAAACGTTACTGTGATTCAGAGTCGAAGCTGTGCAATAGGCATATCCCAGAAGTGTTGCACCCTTCTTATCCCTAGTAACTTCTTTCTACCCTTCCCCCACCACTCCATGTAAGTGACCAGTTTCTGATTTATTTTTCCTGTATTTTTTTTTTTGTTGGAATTAGCAGATACATATGTAATTTCTTCTGTTCTTTTGTTTACATAAAAAGTAGTATCCAGATACTCTTTTGCACTTTGCTTTTCTTCAGTTACATTATATCCTGGAACTCATTCTAAATTATAGAGATTCCTCATTCTTTTTTTTTTTTACAGCTACGTTTTTATAACATTGTACACCATTATTCAACCACTCTCCTGTATAGGCAGTTAGACTGTTGCAGGTACTTTGCTTTTATCAACAATGTTGCAGTAAATAATGATGTACATGCGGTACGTGTTGTTACATTGTTGAAGGCATATCTTCAGTTAGATCCAACAGTGGGATTGCTGGGTGAAAGGTGTGTTGTTAGGTGAGCGAACCATCCACTAGCAATGTTATGAGTGTTCCTCACAACTTCACCAACAGCATGTGTTCTCACACTTTAAACATCTGCCGTCTGACAGATGAGAAATGGTATCTCAACGTTGTTTTAACTGGTATTTCTCTAATAAACAGTTTCTGTAAGTTGGTGGGACATTTTATTATTTTTTCCAGGGGCAAGAGGTGAATTGTCCATCCAGTAGGGGGATGTCTCCCCCTACTTTTCTACTGGGGTTTTGGTCCTTTGCCCCTCAGGTTTTAAACGTTCTTTATATATTAAGGTTATTATCCTTTTGTCTGGTATATGCTGTGAAAGTTTCTCCCAGTTTGTCAGCTGTCTTTTTGACTTTTTATATCCTGTCATGCAAGTTAAAAAATTTAAATGTAGTCAAATTTATCAATCTCTTTTTACTGCCCCTGGATTTTGGAGTCATAGTTAGAAAGCCTGTCCTTGTGTCAAGGTTAAAGAAAAAGTCACCCATATTTCCTCTAGAACTTGTACGGTTTTATTTTTTAAATATTTAGATTCTTAACTCTGGTGTGGTGTAAGATGCTGATCTAATTCCAGATGGCTACCTCGCTGTCCCAGCACCCTTTTTAAAATTCTGTCTTTACCCCAGTGATTTAGGATGCTACTTTCAGC